CCCCCCCCCCCCCCCAGAATTGTTGCATAATATATACCCCCCAAACCCTATTCTGATTATTTAGGCCCCCCATATTACAAGATACCGGTATTGTCGGCTCACCATCAGCTCAAGACGGTTTATCAAGTGACAAGATGGGTGAATTCTGCAAGGGGCCGTGAAGTCTCTGTGCTGGGGCAGCTATACTTGGGGATCAGGGCTTATAAGGTTTAGGGTTTAGGGTTTATAAGGTTTAGGGTTTAGGGTTATACCGCATACATTGCTAAGCTCCCCTCCCCTTCTTGCAGCCAACGCTTCGTAGATCTGCGCGACTTGGCCATGCATCAGCATGGGCACACCATGCTTTGCAGCCAAACCTGTGGGAGAGAGGCACAATAGGGACTGCATGGCACTGAGAGCTCGCGATGTCGTGCCATGAACACAGGATCTTCTTAGGCTTTGCAGGCACCAACAAGTAGCAAAAGCATCGATGTTGCGGTGTTATCCACATATCGCGCCCACAAGCCCAAAACCCTGAACCTGAAAACATATAATAGCTGTACCTGGGAAGAACCCCACACACACACAGACAACAGAGACGCGTTGTACGAAGTCCCCCGACATCCCTTATGAGAAGCCTTGGTCCTTCACTCACACTCACGAGACACCACTAGATTCAGGGTTTAGGATTTGGGGCCTGGGTTTCCGGCCCTGCTGCAACAGACGGCCCGAAACTGGAAACCATTGAACTCCGCAGATTCACTTTTGCATCCCAAGGCCCTAGACCATATAAACCCTAAACTTTTGACTTCAAGACCCATCCGGGCTCATAGTCTCCTTCCATGCATAAGGGCTTCTCAAAGATATGGGAGTCTCTTGCAACCAGGGGCCCTCGTAACAACAATCCTGCTATGTAGGTGTAGTTTCCAAACTCTGATACAGAGGCTGGGGGGAAGTTATTATAGTGACACCTTAATAATTAGAGAATAGGGTTCGGGAGTAACCTAAACACTAAACCCTAACCCGTAAACCCGACGTCAGGGGGATCCTATCGCTGAAATTTTCCGACCCCTGCACTACAGCAATCCGCGTTCGCCGGCAGCTGTTCGATCGCACCAAAAAAGGCATGTCACAAGGCTCGGGTAAAGAGATTGGCGGTTTGGGCTTGAGGGCTAGGGCTTTGGGTTTTTGGTTGTTCAGGCTGTAGATTTGGGGATTAAGGCTGACAGCTGACAAACTGGTTCATGACAGTATTCAAGTCTTCTTGTGTTTTAAACCTCTCCACAAGGGACATTCTACACGAGGGCTCCTTTGCGGCCTAGCCAATCCTAATGGAGGCGCCGTAAGCCGCCTTAACACATAGACTAGTCTTACTTCCTCATATATTTCAATACCGTTATATACAGTATACGTACACCCCAAAATGCGCCAAAGCCCTCTTCTAACAAGCCCCTACATTACTCTCTGAACGTGCATGACGTGCCTTGGCCAAGCTGGATGTCCTTTGCCATCATCTCGGCAGTGAAGTCCTCTCAGTCCAAAACTCTAAAGACTAAACGGTCCAGGTTGTCGGCTTCTGGGTTTGGCGGTGGTGGCCATTGTTGCTAAAACGCCACGGAAGATTAGAACAACAGTTGTGAGTGATGTTATGCAGGTGAGCTATGAAGCACTGCGCTACGCATATGATAGGCAGCACTGGGCCAAGGAGCCGTGGACACAGGGGTCAACGATGCACTGAAGGACTTTACGGCTCATCTGCACCATGTGCATAATGTAGGGGCCTTAATAAGTAGAATGGAGGTTTGGGGCCGATTATACTATAATTATAGTAAGGGGCCTCCCTCCCTCTACGACCTTCCTCCCTGCCTCCGTGTCTCGGAATTTAAAGCTAGGATGCAGTCTGCATGCGGAATGCAAGGTAACCGCTGACAGACGTGCAGGGGCGTGAAGAAAAATAGCAGTCCAGACCCAAGTCTCTTTGTTTGGTACGACTGATGTCGGAAGGTCCGGGCAGTAGGATCCATCTGCCACGCGCGCAAATTCCGTCTCCTGAGATGCACATGGTTGTTGATACCTATAGTTGTGATGTTGCTGCTGCTGTTGTTGCTTCCGGTGCTGTTGCTGCTATTGCTGCTTCATCCCTGCTACTCTCAATTGTCACCGTAGCTAGTCAGGTCGTGCATGTCAGCTGGGTCCTTGTTGGATACACAATTGGATACAATTTTACATCTTTGCTATCATAAAACCCAATAAAAGTTAAACATGATAATTTAATATATCCCCAACAGGGAACCAGTCATCTTACTCACTATGGTCACACGGACTGTCGAACAAGCGTCGAACCCCGCCCGCAGATCCCGAATCCCAAACACAACTAAGAAGCTGTGAACCAATGGCCGACTGTTCCAGGGGCATGTACTCCGTTCTATAGTAGGGGGTCACAACCTACCATGTCGTAGGGCTTAGGGCCACAGGACGGTTCGCGACTGGAGCATGGCATTCGCGTTGCTTAGGTTTGAGCAATACAAAACCAAACCCTACACCTACGACCTGCCGCCTCCGCCCAAACCCTGGGAATGCCGAACACGCCTTGATTTCCACGAATACGGTAAAAAGGCAGAGTAATTACCAATATCATTCCTGATGGCTCCTTGTTTAAAATGGTACTACTATATACCATATAACTCTATTCTAATTAGTATAAGGCCCCTATAGTAAGAGACTTTCAAGTTTTGTGGAGTGTTCCCCATATTAGCAGGTATTGTATTTGGTCCTTCTGGGTACCGCACCAGCCCTAAACCCTAAACATCCCCAAACGCTGAGGGAAAAACGCACCCTGTACTGTAAGCAACAAATGTCATATGTGTCATATTTATAGGTAGCAATATTCAGCTTCATAATAATAATAATAATAACAACAATAATAATATGATAATCAGACATGGGTCCCAACAGAAGGAGTTCCCCGAAGAGATGCGCATGGCGTCGAAGAGCCTCAGCGATACTCCCAGGGGCTGTCGTAAGGTTACTGTAAGGGTTTATAGGGTTTAGGGTTTAGGGGCTGTCGTAAGGGTTACCGCAAGAGTTTCTTGAAGGAGTCATTCAATGTTTGCTTTAGGGGCTTCTTTAAGGGCTCCTCCAAAGTTTAAAGGTTCCTTCAGGAGTCCTTTCTGAGAATTGGGTATACAAGCTCCTCCGGCGGCGACAAAATTTGGCAAGTACTTTGCAGCAGGGCTTCGTCGGCCTTGAAATCCATTGTAGTTCCTTTTTGGTGTTACCTTATATGATCCTAAATGAATAGCTGGTTAAACTCAAAAAGAACTACAACGGAGACTATATGTATGGCAGCCTTCCGCCTCGGTGCGGAATTTCTGACACACGCGGAATGCAAAGCGACACTGACACTACAAGCTTTCTGCGTGATACCGACAAATCAGCAGACGAATGATGTCAGTAGCAATCGTAATCCCATCAGTTCTGCAAAAATGGCAGGTGTTGACTTACCGGTTTCAAAGCCGTGACGTGTTCGATGCAGCTCTTTTCGCCAGAATACCTGAGCCTGAGAGCAACTACCTGTGAGCTACTGCTCAAGCATGCAAACATGCCCAAGCTGAAAAGAACCACGCTTGCAACACGACGCTAATCCGGTGGCCAGAGAAGCCAATCTAAACCCTAAACCCTAAACCCTGAACCCTAAACCCTAAACCCTAAACCCTAAATTCTACCTCCGGATCTTCCCTCCTGGCTTTCCGAACACATGCAAGCGGTGCGACCAAACCAAGATGGATAACCGGATATCCAAAGTCGCACCCACCAGCATCCCGTACAGCACCTGTCGATTTTTCTGCACCATGAAGACAACAGTTGCAGCTACAGCCGGCAGTATGCCTCCGATTGTAGATGCACGCGTCTAAGGCTCATCTAGCCGACTTGTGCGGCGTTGATCCAAGCCACCGACCTCCTTGCGGGACTTGGGGCTTACCTATGACTGCCTAACCCTGAACCCCAAACCCATAATTGATGCTTGTCTCACTTACATCCCAGTCACAGTCCCGTTGCAGAGGGGTCGCTGTCCCGTCTTTCTTCGCTCTTTGTCTTCCACACGCAGGCTAGCTGCTAGCTTCGATCACCCGGGACAGCAGCACAGCTGCATCGAGTCTCCGCTGAGCAGGTTGAAACTACAGGACAATACACGCTGAATCCACACGAAACCCTTGCTAAATCGTGCTTTGAGTACATACTCAAAGCCCGAAGCCTGAAGGACTTCGCCTCAGAAGTCCGAGAAGTCGCTGCAGTCGCTGTATCCGTCTTCTCCAGAGTAGGGGTAAGCATCGTCATCGAAAGAGCCCGGACTCCCGCAGTCAGAGCCACAGTATCCATCATGGGGACTGTCACACCCAAAAGCATCATAGTGACCTTAGTTGCTGCGTTCATAAGCCACAAAAAGTGGACACATTCAGTTTTTACAGTGGGTAATCTTATCCCAAAATGTGTAAAGTGTATCCACTCAGCTACTAGGTGACTGTTACCCTAAACCCTAAGCCCTAAACCCTAAACCCTAAAGCATCATAGTGACTGCTACCATATTCGCGGGGAGATTCCTCCCTCCCACGGTAGGACGGGTCGTGGCCATCTGAGGAGTCAGCGCTCCCATCGTCCGAGGAAGCCTCGCAGCCAGCAGAAGCATCCTTGGCTTTAGGGTTTAGGGTTTATGGTTTAGGGCTTAGGGTTTAGGGGTTTAGGGTTTAGGGTTTAGGGTTTAGGGTTTAGTAGGATTTAGGGTTTCGGGTTTCGGGTTTAGGGTTTACGGGTTTAGGGTTTAGGCTGGGCTTTTGATACTTTAGTCCGAGGTGAAAAGTATGGGCCCCTAATACCGGCCCTTAGGGGGTTCTAGGGTCCCTTAAGGGTACATTATAGGGTATATAGTAGGTATATAAGGGTCCCAGGGTTAAGGGCCCATACTAGGGGCCCATGGGTCCAAGCGTAGATTTGGAGTCATGCTCCGGTTTGGCGCCCGGATAATTCTCGGAAACCTATCACGACTTGCTTTGCGACGCTCAATGGCTGTCTCCTTCCGCAAACCCTTAGAGGAACAAACTTTCAGTCTCCAGTGTTCCATGCTGCTCACGACGACTCAGTTTCGCTATGCTTCGCTCGTTCGCGGGCAGAAGGATATGGCCAACCACTGCATCCTACCTCCAAGCAGGCCTATCACATGCCGGTCCTTCGCGACACATTTTCGACTGAGTCGAGGGTCTGGACAGAACCCGTAGTTAGGATTTGCATACGCAGGCTTGCAACAAGGCCATATCGCATCGCATGGGGGAGCAAGATACACAGCCTCTGGTTGCAGCTGAGCATCGCTGTCGCTGCCGCCTCCACAGTCAGGCAGACTCTAAGTTCAATTCTGAACGCAGCTTAAGCACAGAGGAAAGGTCGAGGTGCTTGGCTCTGCCAAGCCTAGTTACATCATCGTTCAGGGGTGCTGGGTATTTGAGCTATCGATCCGACATTCAAGGTAGGTGGACCCCGCGATACCCGTGCTCCTGTGCACGCCAGGCGTGCAGCCTTGTGCCACTTCGAGACTTCGCCGGTTAAAACCGAAGAAGCTGCAAATGGCTCCAAAGCAAAATCTAGAAGTCTCCCCACCAGCCCTCACTCAGTGCAGCCCAGAGTGCAGCCCCGCTTAGAAACCAGAAGCCCATTCGCCTTCAAGCTCGCTGACGTCGTCCGCATCATGGTAGCTCAAGATCTGCACCCTCTCCGGATCGAGAACAGCGAAGACATCGAGGCCTATGACCACAGCCGAGTCGTAGCCCATAGCAAGGACGTCCTCGATCTGGGCCGAGTGCTGCTCCACCTCCAGCAGGTGGCCGAGGTCCACTTCGCACTCGATGATGACCTCTGCCACCCCGCAGCGGCACTTGCGGCACGCTGCATGGGGCGACCGGGAGAAGTAGATTGCCCCGCCCAGAAACCCCGCCCGACCCGGGCACAGCTCGCCGTCCCTCGCGATGTTCCGAGCAGCCGCTTCGCTGGTTGCGTGGAAAAGCCGAGTCATGGGCTTCCAGAAGCCTTCGAAATCCTAAAGGTCCTAAGGTTTCTACAAGCCTTCCTTGAGTCAGCAAGAAATGACATGCTCACGCGGATGATACCGCAGCACTTCCAGGGCGGCAATGGCCCAGCCTACCTCCTGTGCATCTGAACTATCTGAACCGAGTTTGACCGTCCGAGGCTATGCATCCGTATGGTTGCTCCCAGTGCATTCCCAGCAGCAGCTTCATATCCACACCGCTCTTTTTCGCAATCATCATGACCTGCAGATCTCACGAATAGCCTGAACCCGTGCAGCCTAAAGCCATGTAGCCAAAACCGCCTAACAAACAGCGCAATGGGAGGGGGGGGGGGGTAAGTCTTCGAATCGACGGGTCTCTCGCACGCCTCTCGGGTACCATCAAGCCTGCACACCTATACGTCTCTGTACATGCTGGACCGCGAACCCTGAAGCCGAGCTCCTGAACGCAACACGGAACTCCTCTGCCGCTTCCGTTTTGAACGGCCGGCGTTTTTTCGGTCATTCTCGTTTTGAAGGACAGGGTTTAAAAGCTCTCATCCGAAAAAATCCCAGCCTCACCCATAGCGCAGTCTTGGACAGCACACAGCATGTTCGTCAGAATCTTGACCACAGTCTCGTGGCCGAATTCACCTGTCTTTGAGCCAAGCAAAGTAGGATTGTAGGTCTACCACGGTTGAATTTAAGCGAATAATTATAGGGGCCTAAATACTTGCCAATGCTGTTCTGGGGGGTTTCTTTGTATAATTATAGTGCAATGGGCCCCATGACCCTATTCTAATTATTCAGGCCCCTCAATTACTCGCCGACTGGTATTAGTACTAGTAGTACTGGCACAAGTAGTACCAATACTAGTAGTACCAGCACTGCAAATACCAGGAGATACTTGTACTATCCCTAAACCCTAAACCCTAAACCCTATACGACCATACTCGTACTACGGGTACTTGCGGATTTCTTGTCAGACTTCCGTTTCTTCTGGAACTCCACCCTGGGCTGCCATGGAACGGCACCTTGGACCCAGGACTTAGGACCTAGATCCTGGGTGCCACCTACAGTCTCCATTGTAGTTCCTTTTTTCGGTTTAACCAATTATATATTAAGGGGTTTTATAAGGTATCCTGAAAAAGGAACTACAATGAATAGACTGCTGCCATATTCGAATACAAGGGACTACTCTTGTTGCTCAGGGTTTGGGATGGTTTGGGGACAGAGTCGGTTTTCCAGTCAGATCATTGGGCATTGGTGCCTCGGAATGTTCGGGGGCTAGCAAGGCCGACTCTGGTCTAGGATCTGAGGTTCAGGGTTTCCTTCAAACACGTGTATACGTATACTATGTCATACTATAGAAGACCCCCAAATTCTCTGCAGGCCCCTCAGCGAAGCTGTGATGTAGAGTAACCCGTGAAAAACCCTCTTTAAGACTGTTCCAGAAACCTTGGCCCTAAAACCTAAACCCTCCTTCTTACGTGCCTTATGTCAGAGCCCTTGCATGGCAAAGCGGCCACAGCGAATGATCCGTGGCGCCGACAGCGAGATCAGTGGCTTGACCTCGGGCTTATAGGGCTTGTGGGTTTAGGGTGTGGGTGTTTAGAAATCACCCAAAGCTGCAACAAGTAGCTAAACTGTTGGCCCAGCACCTAGAAATGGCCATTGTTTACATCGTGTAGAATGGTAACATGAAGTATAAAGACCCCCAGGAACCAAGTACATACAGTTACGCCTTCATGATGCTCCTGTTTTGTTACAAGCTGTCCAACCCCAGGTGCAAACAAAGAATGACACGCACTTGCTCCCTAGACCCTAAACTCGAAAGTCTCCTAAACCCCTAAACCCGAAACCCTAAACCCCTAAACCCGAAACCCTAAAAAAGTGGCAGGTTGAGGCAGAGCTCTGAGGTTGAAAGAAACGTGAACCCAAACCGTGCCAAGCCTAATGTAGGGCAGGGGCCTTAATAAACTGACTACAGTTTTGGGCTTTTTTAAGTGTTGATAATAGGGAACCCTGACGAATAATACTGGCACTTATTTATTATTTAATAATTAGAATGCAGCTTTGGGCTTTTTGAAGTGTTGATAATAAGGAACCCTCAGGAATAATATTGGCAACTATTTCTGCTTCTCTATTAACCTCAAACCTCCTTGGATTTGAAACCCCAGCCCCTTCTTGCAAACCCCGGACCCGAAATGTGTAGCCTCCCTATGCTGCCACCAGAAACTCCTGAAGAATTTCAAGCAATAACTCCAAAGTTCCAGCTCGGTGTTTCAAACGGTTTAAGCCAAATTTTAGGCTGCGGGGTTGGGGGACCCGGGGACTTGGGGTTGAGGTTTGGACGTTGGAACATGTACTAGGTGCATGGCCCAGGTTGGCAACAGGATTCGGAGCGTTATAGGGCTTTAGTTGGTTGCTAAGCCCTGCTGCGGGTTTGGAGTAAGCCCTGGCCTAGGGCCCAAAATCGTTGACCCTGGAGCCCGAAAGCCTGACACCGGAAGCTCCGGTCAAACCCCAAACCAACCCTAAGCCGACTCTCAGCCTTACCTGGACCCTAAAGAACCTAGCTTTGTGGGGTTCCTTAATATGAACTCCTTATATAAGTCCTTCAAAAGGTAGGTTATTTGGGGTTAAGGTAAGGTTTAAGCCCGAAGGAACCACGAAAAGGAACCAGGAAGTATGCTCTTTGGGCTGGGAATTGAATCGAAAACCCCGGCCAAAGGGCGCGCTGGAACGTCTCCTCGTCTGCGCCGACCTCTACAAGGCTCACGACAGTTCAGGGCTGAACATGTACCTAAACCCCAAAAGTAAGTAAAATAATGGCCCAAGACCCATCAAAGGCTATTATTCTACATACTTTTGGGGTCCAGGTAGAGCCATGTTAGATGTTAGGGATCAGAGTTTTAAAGTAGTGCGTACATTTGTGGCCATAAGGCTGGGCGTACGTTTTGGCCCTTGAGGGATGGGGCGTCGGCGTGGATTTGTTAATGACTGAACCGAAGCGCCCTGAATTCCTAAACCCCTGAACCCCTACCTTAAGAACCCCAAAAACCCACTTTTTTGTAGGGTCCCTATAAACCCCACATTAGGGTTTATAAGAAGAGCCTACAAAAAAGTGGGTTTGGGGTTCTTAAGGTAAACCGTAAACACTAAAACCCTAAACCCGCTTCCTGAGGCTCTGGACGTTAGGGAGGCAGTGCGGTTTAGGCTTTAGGGAGGCCTCGAACGAAGCCCCAAAAAGCCTTGACATAATACAGACGCCCCAAATAGTTTTCAGTTTTTACTGCTGTAAAATATGCGCCTTAATAATAATTAGAATGGGGTTTTGCGGTTTTTATAACTGTAACTATAATCAGGAACCGCCGAAATAGTGCTGGCAATTATTTAGGCCCCTATGGTAACCTTTTGCAACTTACTTGAACGCCAAGCAGTCACAGACCCCAGGTTGAAGCAGTTGCGAAGCCCCGAATACCAATGCCACGGGCGAGGAACAAGAAGTATCAAGGGTCATCAAATTAAGGCTTTTTTTAAATGCAATGGGCCTTTGACTTTAATTTGGTTTAGGGTTCAGGGTTTCGGGTTCAGGGTTTACGGTCATCAATTCAAGGTAGATCATCGCAACTAAACCCCCGAATAACCGAACCGAGGCATGCTTTAAGCCCGCAACTCAGGAACCATGTTGACGTTGTACCTGTAGTCTCCATTGTAGTTCCTTTTTGGGGATACCTTATAAGATCCTTGATATATATATATATATATGGTTAAACCCAAAAAAAAGAACTACAATGAAGACTATAGGTAATTCTGCTGCCGGCGGAGCACCAGTGCTACCATCTTTCCCACTTTCCTGCAGGCAGTATTCGTAACGTCGCAGCAAGACTAGCAAACTAGCAAACATAATAATTAACTTTCGTAGTTAGCATTCGAAGGAATTGGTGTGTAGTTTTGGCTTGCTGTGGGCGTTCGTCTCTCTGTCTGTGGGTGTGTGGGTGTGTCGGTCTGTCTGTCTGTAGATGCATGTGTTTTTGGGACTGGGGGCGGTGAGCGAGTGGACACCTAGACTGTTGTTGGAAGGGGGCCAATAGCGACTTGGGCAAAGCAGGGAGGACAACGACATTTGTATAAGGTCTAGCACAAGGTCTTGCATCTACTGCGAGATTGCTCATAACATAATATGTTGAAACTACCCCAGTTTGATTGAAAACAGTCACCTGGAATCCTCTACACCTCCACCTCCCAACCGCAGCCTGGACACTACACCCTAAACTCCTACTTCTTAAAGCCCCAACCCTAAACCCTAAATCCTAAAATCTCCTGCCAAACCTCCTCTCGGTCTTTAAAAGCCCTTGCACGCTAAACCCTTCTTTCGATCTTTAAAAGCATTTATTTCAGATCCGCCAAGTGAAAAATTAAAACAGCAGATGCAGAGCCGGAAGACAAGCAGCTCGGAGCTTTGAAAAACGGGTTTCGGGGTGGTAGGGTTTAGGGTTTAGGGGTTTAGGGAGGTAGGGTTTTAGGGTTTAGGGTTTAGGAAGGTAAGCTTTAGGGGCTTGAGGGATAAGATTCCTCCTAGCTTTCGTGGCGGCTCTTCTTCCAAACTTCGGTTTCCGTCTGCCAGGGCTTTTAAAGTAAAGAGTTCCTCAGGGCTGCCATTTGAGGGGCTTTAGGGCCTTTAGGGTTTTTGGGGCTTTAGGGCTCTTAGGGCTTTAGGCCTGTAGGGTTTGAGGTTAAATACAGGAACCTGGTCAAGAAATCCTGGGTCTTGATTAGGGTTCTTAATATGGATCCTAATATATTGGGGTTATAGGGCCAGGATTTCTTAATCAGGTTCCTACATCAAGAAACCGCGCTCAGAACATGACGGGTAAGGCGATCTAGGGTTATGAAGAAGAACTCGACTGCAACAACCAGTATTTCTTGTGCAATCTCAGTGTCAAGATCTGCATTCCACCAGTGACAGGTGCCGCCACAGCCTGCGCGAAGCACCAACTTCTACCGCTGAGTTGAGGCTAGGAACCTTCACTTCGCTGATGGAGATGCTCTCTGAAATCGACAACTTAAGCTCTGAACCGTCATGAACTCCTTCAACCCTATGGAGGATGTGGGCCACTGGAGCCCTAACCGATGGTAGTCGAAGCCTAAACCCTAAACCCTCAACCCTAAACCCCTCAACCCTAAACCCTCAACCCTAAAAGACCCTAAACCCTCAACCCTAAACCCTAAAACCAAACCCTAAACCCTCAACCCTCAACCCTAAAAAAACCCTAAACCCTCAACCCTAAACCCTAAAACCTAACCCTAAACCTAAACCCTCAACCCTAAACCCTAAGGTCTAGTCCGTGAGACCAAAGGCGCTTTTCCAAAAAAAGGCCCAAGGAGGCGCCAACCGAACCCATGGAGGGGCGGACTGAATCCGGTAACCCAAACCCTGACAAGAAGGGTTAAGGGTTAAGGGTTTAGGGTTGAGGGTTTAGGGATGAGGTATCCTAAACCATTAGTGTAGACCCCTGATTGATATACTCCCCTCTCGCTCCCCTCTCGCATAGTGTCCCTTCGGGCACCTCAATTCCCAAATCCCAAACCCTCCTAAACCTGAAACCTCAAACCATGTTTTCGGGTGCCCTGCTTTTGGCCTCTATAAACACTATAAAACCCAGAAAAATTACTCTTAACTCGAAACCCAGAAAAGCCACGAAGCAAAACCTAGCAAAACCTATCAGCACCTCGAGGAGGACCCCGTACAAAAGAAGCACTAGACCCTAAACTCCCAAACCCGTCAATCCCTAAATCCTCAATCTCTAAACCCTCAACCCCTAAACCCTAAACCCTAAACCCCTAAACGGCTAAACCCTAAAAGGCAATAGCAACCCATTCCCCTCCTGCCTTGGCCCCGCGCTTCTCCACCTCCGCTCGGATCTTCACCGTGTTTTCGAAGTCCTGGGCTCCGTGTTGGTAGCCACGGTTTAGGGTTTGGGGTTTAGGGTTTAGGGTTTGGGGTTTAGGGTTTAGGGTTTAGGGCTCTGTGTTGGTAGCATGTTGGTTTCGGGTTTTTTCGGGTTTAGGGTTCAGGGTGTTTAGGGTTTAGGGTGTCTGGTGTTTAGGGTTTAGGGTTTAGGGACAAAAAACCGAAAAAGTTGGCAACCGGATTAAGGCCAATTAGTGCCGGGATTCTCTATACATTGCTCTTCAAGATTGGGGCTATTGGGCTTCGAACTCTTGGCTTCTACTGTGCTTCCCTTTCATACGACATAAGCTATGATATATACTATGTTCTACTAAGTTCTGTTTGCTTACATATTTGTGTAACCAGCTTATCGTGGTATGCGATATTCAATTCTATTCTGTCGGGGTGCTGAGGGCATAAGCCCTATAGGGTTTTGAGTCAGGGGAATGATTGGCTGGGGTTTCGGGGCTTACTTGGAGGATCATGGGACTTAGTAAGTAAGGCTATAAGTCCCCTAATTAGGGGTATAAGTATAGTTACCCCCTAAACCCTAAACCCTAAACCCTAAACCCTAAACCCTAAACCCTAAACCCTAAACCCTAAACCCTACCCTACTTACTAAGTCCCATGATCCTTTAAGTAGGCTAGGGTGCTCAGATTTGGGGTGCCAGGGATGTTCCCTTAACGGTTTAGGGTTTAGGGTTTAGGGTTTAGGGTTTAGGGTTTAGGGTTTATAGGGCTTTGGGCTACAGGGTTGTAGGTGCAGGCTGTTGAGTTTCGGCTCTCCTAGACGGAGTGCGTTGACAGCTTGGATTGGGAGTGTGCAATTTTGGGGCCCTTGTAAGTAGAATCGGGTTTTGGGATCTATTCGACTATAATTAGAATACGGAACCTCCAAAAAGTATTGGTAATTATACTTAGGCCCCTATATTAATCTCACTTCATGAGGATGCCACTTCCGATTTTAGAGGTTTGGGGCTTTGCTGAGTTTTCAAAGGAGTTTTGATTTCAGCTTCGGGCATGTGGCGTCAGCTGAATTACTGGGGTAGGGGGTTTAAGGAAGAGGCTGTCGGAGTCGGGGTCGGGTTTACGACGTTCCGGGGCTTGAGCGCTTTTGCCTCTTTCCGGAGGTTTCTTTGCCTCTTTCTGGAGGTTTCAGGGTTAAGGACTTAGGACAGTCACTGTAGGATTTACAGCTTAAAATTGAAAACCAGAGATGAGGATTCAGGACAGAGCTTAAACAATTTGGGATGGGCTCTGACTTCGCCCCTCTCTCTCTCTCTCGAGCAGTCTGTATTTATTCTACGAGAGAACCTAGGCATTTCAGCTTGGCTCTGTCTCTGTTCTGCTGTGTTTTGGAGGGCTTAGGCATACCGGACGGTCCAGTACTCCTTCATTGAGGAACTCCCCTTACGTGCAGAGCATCTTGCTTTGAATGCAGAAAATCAAACCTGGCCAATACCCTATAAACCCTAAGCCGTAAACCCTAAACACTAAACCCTAAACCCTAAGCCCTAAACTCTAAACTCTCTGGCTAGGCAATGAAGGCTAGGAGAGCATCCGTTGTGGAGTGCTCGATCCAGACCGCGCCGGGCTTCAGGCCAGCAAGGATACCTGCAGCTTTGTAGTGGGTTTAGGGTTTAGGGTTTAGGGTTGCGGGCGTTCAATTCTGATTGCTGCTGCCATGATAATATTCAGAATAAAATAACTAAGTAGTTTTCATACGATCTTTACTATAGTCCGTGATCGTATTATTACGACAATCTAGCATTATCTACTATATTTATTGTTACTAGCATTATAACTATTGCTGTTATTGCGATTACTACTACTGCTACTGTTCCTGTAGCATCAAGTCTTGAGTTTATCGAGGCGGCCTCCATGAGTTCAGTGGCTTGACGTGGGTTTCATGAGGCTTTATGTTGGTCTAGGAATGGAGGGCGCGGTCACACTCCACAAGTGCAAGAGTCACGGCGTTTCAGGGTCTTTCATTTCCACTCTTGAATTTTGATGCTGTGGGCTTACTTGATTAAGGTTAGCCTGCAGCACCAAACCCTGCAAAATAGTAGGATATGAAGCCATAATCATCGGGCATAGCCACTAAAACACTTCGCTTGAAATGTAGGGACCTGAACACCTGGAACAGCAAATTGGCGAGTATTGCAGTAAGGAACCCCAGGGAACAATGCTGGCAATTGTTCACAAGATTTGTTTCGGCGGCTCGAAGAAAAGTCCCGAACATCCAAAAGCCCAAAACCCAAAACCCCTTAGAAGAAGCCTGAAACAACACAGCACTAACCCCCCGAACCACGAACATTTAAACCCATCTTTGCACAACAAAGAGGCCATCCTCTTTAATTCGGTCTCCGTCGATTCCCATTGCTGCTGAGACATGCTCCTGGGCGGGCATGGGTCGTATTAACCTGTGGATCGATTCCATTTGGGGGTTTAGGTCTGGATTTGGGCTGTAGATGTAGATCTCAGCGCAGAAAACGGTTGGCCACGTTCCGGGTTCCGGGCATGGAGACGTTGGTTAGGAATGCTAGTCGCAGTAATTGAACTGTAGCACCCACAAAGAGCTGAAGACAGGGAATCTTGGGTCTGGCTGGTTTTAGGGCCCGTGGGGCTTTATGGGCTTGTGGTATTTCCACAGCGTAGGGTAAAGGTTGAGATTTTGTCAGCTTTTGTCCGCTGCCATGACCTCACATGCCCATCTCCCTAAACCCTAAACCCTAAACCCTAATCCCTAAACCCTAAACCCTAAACCCTAAACCGTTTAGCTTC